ATTACACTATCGTTATGTGCATGTACACGTACACACACAAGTAAGTAAAGCTCTCTCGCCTTCGTGAGTTGCAAGAACTATAGGTACAGTCAAGAATTGTTGCAAAATATCACTTATTAGAACTAACATAATGATGTCACATTGTTTAGCTAGCTGTAATTATTTGAGTTTTTATTTACAACAACCTTTTGCACATAACACATCTGTTTAATTTTTTTGTTTACAGTTTAAAGTCATAGGTTAATTAATATTGTTTGTTTGCTCAATAAATTTGTTAATTTGTCTCATATTATCATTTAGATTGTTTCGGCTATGAGAAAATCATGGCCATAGTCTGTACCTATCAGGTCCATTTTTATGCCCCACTGTGTAATATTTACAAAAAGTTTTTATCTTGAAACACAATAACTAAAGATCGCCATATCCTTCTTAGATAAAATAGTCAATTATTTTCAGACGTATTTAAGATTATAAAAGCTTATTTTTATCTTCATTTCTATCATCTAATGATGATATTAGTCATCATTAGATTATTAAAATCTCTTCATTAGTCATTCTTTTATTTATCTTTTCCATTGTTTTTTTTTTCACTGCAATGGGACTATTTAAAGCTGTCAAAACAATAAATTTGACTTTTGACCTTGTCTTAAATGGAAGTAGTGATTTGGTCAACTAGCTCGTCATTTTGACATTGATCATGATGATCTCACACAGACAGACATAATGCGAACAAATGGAATGTTTTATTTACCTATACGTCAAGCTATTTATAATACAAAACATAAGTTAACGAACATTTTATACTTTTGTTTGTGCTAAATAATATTTAGAAGTCTGTTTTGGTTTATGAAAAGTTATAGATTTTTTTACAAAAAAGTAGGCTGCATACATTTGAAAGAATTATATGTTCCTATATGAACTAAATTTCTTTTAAATTCAAAGTATTACTAGTATTAGGTCATTATAAAAACTTCACGTCACATTCTATTACAACTATTTATTTATATTTGTGATCACACAACCGAATTAACAGGTTTCCAAACGAATATGTAATAAATACAGCTTTAATACGAATGGCATCATCAATTTAGTTACAAAATTGTGTATCTCTCCCAAAATAGTTTCTGACGTGATCTCAGGTACGAGTAGGTACCTAGTACCTACATTGTTTTGAAATAACTGTCAAAACAATTCTATTTTATTACAATTCTGTAAATAAATGTCATATTTTTTTTCCTAATTGTTTTCAGTGTCATTATTTTTAGTTAAATCTTGTATGAATCGCTTTAAATTCGTTTTAAAATGATTTATAAATTTTCTCGTTCCAAATTTCTGCTTTTCTTTTCGTTTCAAACTATATCTGGCATCGAGTAGGATCGTAAAGAGTAGCCTTTCCAAATTCACACGCATTTTAGAATAAGTAGGAAAGATTATTACACTCATATTGCTACTGAAATCTGGAAGAAACATGTATATTCGCAACCAAATATCTACTTATTGTAGAGTTCAGTGAGTTCATTATAATATTTTGCTAAAAATCTAGAATACTCTTTGTATTCAATGTGTCACAAAACTAGGCTTTATTGATCATACCTGCCTAAAAGTGCCGTTGAAATTGTCTTGTGTGCATAAAATACGTCTACGGTTAAAGTGGGCTGAACATTTGACGTGGTGGTGGGCAGAGTCGGTCTTTGGGTGAATAGTCGACCCGGAAAAATGGTCGAGGTAAGGATACCTTTAAGAATCCTTGGGGGAGGCCTTTGTCCAGCAGTGGACGTCTTTCGGCTGAAACGAACGAACGAAGGATACCTTGACTTCTTGCAATGTACTTAACAGATGCATGGCACATTTAGGACGCAGCATACCTTACAATAGGATCGAATGGAAGGTAGGTAAAGGTGTCTGCATGAAGCTACGTAGTATACTTTTCGCCTGATATATCTAGTAAGCGATTCATTTGGAAAAGTTCGCTAACTCCTGCTAAGTCTGCTCGTTTGCCTCCAGTCACATAAAAAAAAAACTCAAATGTTATTCTGAGTCCAAAGACAGTTTAACTTTGACCTTCACTGGTTGGGTTTTTTATTGGCGGTCAAGCTATAGATCCTGGCTACACAGGAGTTGCAGCAGTGGGAGTGCAACGAGAGGTGGGAATAGTCCCGTTAGCTTCTCCTGGCATCGACAATAATTAGCATTAAATGAGGCTTATACACATAAAAACCTGAACCAGTATTATTCGAACAGATGGCGTTAAGGAAACTTAAACTAAGTCAAGGCCCACGACTATAAGGCTGGGTTGCACCATCTTATTTTATCTTTGACAAACGTCAAAAATCTATCAAACTCCATACAAAAAACACCGGTTATCATTATAGTTTCGGTCAAAGTTAGGTGGTGCAACTCAGCCTAAGTATGAGCCTACAACGAAGCTACTGTTCTAACCATTATTGTAATGTGGTCATCTACATAGACAAATATTGCCCAAGGTCATAGAGAACTGGACTTATTCCAGCCTATCTTACGCTCAAAAAGGACACTAAGAGTTCGTTCGTTCGTTTCAGCCAAATGACGTTCACTGCTGGACAATGGCCTTCCAAAGATTATCACAACGACTGGTCCTGTACTATCCTACTAATATCCTACTAATATTATAAATGCGAAAGTTTTTGTGGATGTCTGGATGTATGTTACTCTTTCACGCAAAAGCTACTGAAAGGATTTTGTTGAAACTTTACAGTATTATTGTTTAACCCAGATTAACATATAGGCTATAATTTATGACGATATGTGACAAACTAAATTTCACGCGGGTGAAGCCGCGGGCAAAAGCTAGTCCGCTATAAATTGGTAGAAGCTTCTTTTTATACATAGCAGACACAAAGAAAAGTTGTTGTTTGTTATCGTATTTCCTCAGTAGAAACCAACTCTTTTTGTTAGAACTGCATCCAGAACTTTAGTCAATAACAAACATCTTTTGATTTACCTGTTTATTAGCATGCCTATTTAAATAAATCATGGCTGGTCCATTATAGTCTGTAAACAGTTTTAGTATCATCCATGACATAATTAATTATGAGGATGACATCTCTTTACTAGAGTGAGTAACCGTAGTACGCGCTTGGTTTCATGTAATTACTAATTATGTATGAACTCATAGTTTAATTAATCACCTATTTGTAATAGGTAATAAGTAGGTGTAAGCTATTGTACGAGTAAGGTTACTTTTAACACCTGGTTAAAGACATTTTGTTGTGTAAAACATAGCTCTTAGTTTACAATAACTGGCAGTTTGTGATTAAACAGTTGGCTGTGAGAATTACGTATACAATTAAAACTATATAAAATAACTAGTAACGTTAATAATTACATAGGTTGTTGTTTAAAAAACGAATGAAATATTTTTCTACAAAAAGTGCTACTGAAATCGAATGGCCAGTATTTTTGTTACGTATCAATAGAATTACAGTATATTGGCCGAATTTTACTATAACCCTCCTGAAGGCATGTTCGACCATTCTGCCTACCGCTATCAATTCAGATGTAAATGTCGGCCATAAGTAAATCGATGTAAGGAGGTCGGATTTAGGCCAAAACAGAGTAATAAATGTAATCTTTATGTATTTTGTTTTGACCTATGTAGGTAAAGATATAATTCATAGAAAATATAGTAAATTAGTTCCGATTTAATTAATTAGTATGCATTATCTGATTATTATGACTAATTATAAAGGTAATAAGTTAATTCATAGTTAGGTAGCTAATTGTATTGATTGTTGCGTCCTTATTATTATAATGTAATAAATATTAATTACGTCTGATTAATTATATAGTGTCATATTTTTGTATTTAAGTGCACCACTACGAATTTTACTTTACTTGTAGATAAGTTATTGAATTGAATATTGGCCAGAAGTTCTTGTTATTGTTTTTTTATACGTAAGGATTATTAATATGTAAGTAGGTATACTTACAATGTTTTAACTAAAACTCTTAAAGCTTTACAAACTCTACATGTAAGTAGATAAAAGTATTGAAATCAGCAAGTCAAATTAACAAAATGTGTTAATATTATGTTCGATTGATTAAGAACAGAAGTAAGCTAAGTAAGCTACACACAAAAACTCAACAATTACACCAACTATAACAAATCGGCACAATTCAGGCGGTCTTAACGCCAGAGAGATCTCTCCTAGAGAACATACAATATTTAAATCGCTGTATAAACAACGCGACCCAGAATATCAGCTGCATTTCCATACTCTATGGCCAAAGTATATGACGTTTTTGAAATGTGTGTAATCACAATGTGTGTAGTGTAGTATTTTAAATTATTATTAAGTCACCTTTATTGTTATTAAATTCTCTGCCAATGACACGCACCGATGCTGTGAAGGTCGCATGACATCACTGCTCTCAGCAATACGAAATTCTCGAAGGATTTTTCCTAAGGTCATCTTTAAATCTAAACAATATTTATGATTTTACAATTGCTTTTAGTCATAATTAAAAATACTATTCAACTAAAACTTGTTGTTAAAAATCTAAGTCGGAATAAATCAGGTACTTGAGCTTTTAAAAGTTCTACGCACTTAAAACTTTTAAGACGCAGTTGCTTAAAAGTTTACGATAAGATTCAAAGCTAAGTATGTGTAGGTTTTACGAGTAACAAGCTTACACGTACTTGTTATCAGTATTATGAACACAATCACACATATTTACGACTTTTGCCTTTATCTCTAGATCTTGATAAGTTCGATTACAACTCAAGCAACGGATCACGAGATTTTAAGCTTATAAAAAGCTGTATAACCTTTTTTCTATGTTCAATGATCGACGACAACAAATTGCACTGGCTATTCTAGTCACGCACAAATAAAAAATAAAGATATCTTCGTGTTCTAAATTCAAAACAATTAAACACAAATAAAGCAACAGTGTAACCTACATCGGAAAATCGGTGACAACACTGGCCGCTTTAAAAATAAATTTTAAATAAAACGTACCGATTTCGAAAACTGCCAGTAGTAAGGCGACGCTCAGTGTAACTCCGGTTCGGGCCATGGTAGTAATGTATTTTAGCACTGGAATGGGACGGCTGATCGGTTGACACGGGCGATGGAGACTGACTGAGAAAATGCCGCGCCCGCCCGACGGACCGACGCCGGTAACGCATTTACACTACGTAGGGTGTGGGCCCTGTAGGCGGTAGTGGGATCTTTGGGATTGAATGAATGACCATGCACATAACATACCTATTATTATATATAATATTGACATTGTAAATTGACATCGTGAACTTGACATCTTTAAAATTATGACATCAAATACCTACTTCCAGTTAAAATTAAGATTTTTTCAATATTTCTGAAATTACTAACAATAATATGCATGCCGAATTAATAAATAAATGTTTGTAAAACACAATGTTGCTGTGCCCAAACAGGGTCTATGTTTGAGACTATACAATATATTGTTTAAGACCTTTATGTACAACATAGAATGCAATAAAGATTTTGAATTTGAATTTGAATTTGCATTTGAGAATGCACCTGTATGCCAGTTTTAAGTTCTATGCAGTAAATTACATACGTACTACATACTAACTACAAAGCTTAATAAACATAACGGTACGCGAAAATTAGCCCTAACCTTTAAAAATTAAGATATGGGCACCTGTGAATTAGATTTTCAAAAAAATTTTTTTGCGCAAGAAGTAGCGCGATTAAGAATAATTAAGATAAAGTTGTATTTTTAAATTGTTCTATAATGGAGCTTATTAAAAAAATTGGATACTGATAACAACATCACCCTGTATAAGTAATATTATAAAAGACGAGAGCAAGTTTCCGCAATAATATTCTATAATATTGTGCTAGAAACAAGCACAAATTACAATAGGTATTATAATAGACAAGTAAACATTCGTCATAATTATGTATCATAGTAACAAGATATTTGTTATTTTCCTCAGGCTCGTGCAAGTTTACGTTTGTTTTTCTTCAAGACCGGCGTATTTAAGACACTTTTAGTCATTGCTATTTGCCAATACACGATTTCTGTGATACTTTTATATGATTTCTAGATTATGGTAAAGCTGTATGTAAACTTTAACTCGTTATACATTACTAGCGGGCCGCCCGCGTACGACGCTTGGATCCCGTTTTATCCCCTTAGGGGTGGAGTTTCGTAAAATCCTTTCTAAGCGGATGCCTACGTCATAACATCTACCTGCATGCCAAATTTCAGCCCGATCCGTCCAGTGGTTTGGGTTGTGCGTTGATAGATCACTATGTCAGTCAGTCAGTCAGTCAGTCAGTATTATATTTAGATACACATATGATGACAAGTGTAAATTACCCATGCCCGATTATAAAGTGGGTCCAGCTAGAGAGAAAATTTAGAGAGTTTTAAAGTAGGTAAATAAAGTTACCGGAAAACGCAGCGTGGGACGTCCACCTGCAAGGTGGACCGACGACATCGTAAGGGTGGCAGGGAAGCGCTGGACGCAGGCCGCTACCAATCGATCAACATGGAAAGCATTGGGGGAGGCCGATGTTCAGCAGTGGACGTCCTATGGCTGAAATGATGATGATGATGATGATGAAATAAAGTTGATTTTATTCAGATCAAAGCGCTTTTTACTATGTGCACAGATTTCTAGTAGCTAACAGAATTCTGCGTAGATAAGTTTGTATTTTTTTACAAACGAAGGATTTAGAAGAATTTAGAAGGTCGCGGGAGGTGCCTGGATGCGGCGGCGCAGGACCGGTCTTGGTGGAAATCCTTGGGGGAGGCCTTTGTCCAGCAGTGGACGTCATTCGGCTGAAACGAACGAACGAACGAATTAAATTTTGCTAAAGCGTAGCAACTAACTAAGCGTTTAAGTCTTTTGTATTAAGGCACATTAAATTTTAAAAAGTTAACGTTTTCTGCAATAGTAGATACGTGTATACTGTATAATATTTTATAATTTTTTCTCGTGAATGTCATAACTTTAGACAACAAATGTATGGGCTTATCATGGAAAATGTATGAAATGCGTCGATAAAAGTTTATCGTGGCACGCATCCTCGGTTTACATGTCAGTTTGAGGGCGAACATATTTATGACCGCTTTCAGATACAATATAATATGTAATTTATAACTGGTCTCGTCGGATGGGATATTTTTTTTTCAGGTTTAAGTAAGTGGGTATAAATATGTATTTAGACTTCGTTAAATATTTAGGTATCGTAACATCAGACTGCGTTTGTGACATCGCAAAGTACCTACTATAAAAAGGATTGCAAGAATCATAAATACTAAAGTAGTTGAAACAACTTTTAATTAACTCTGCTTTTACGACGTCAACAAATTCAGTAATTATTTTACCTGATTAGTCATAATACATTTAACAATAAATCAGTTGTGGTTTAACTGACGCGATGTTTACGTTATATTACTACTAATTAAATTAAACGTTATTTTAATTTATACATAATATTATACAATGACTATTCGATGATTTTAATTTTAGAGTCATTTTATAGTAGCTTTACTTGGAATTTTCATAATAATTGATGTAAGAATCAATTACTCATATCCTAAAGTACCTACTTCTTGAATAGGTACTGAAGTATTTTATATAATATCGATAGATTTTTTCCGTTCTGTATATTCTTCGAAACTCGCTCAAACTAACATAACGAAGTCAATATTTATTACTATTGTACTTACTGTGTTACGATTAATTCGATACATTCTCAATTTAGATATATTCCTTACTATGGAGAGGGTTAGGCTACGTCACAAGGGACATATTGCCAGTCACACCGTATAGGCAGTTGATTAGAAGCCTATACAGGGTGTTAGGTAAATCCCAACTAATATTATAAATGCGAAAGTAACTCTGTCTGTCTGTCTGTCTGTCTGTCTGTCTGTCTGTCTGTCTGTCTGTCTGTTACGCTTTCCCGCTTAAACCTCGCAACCGATTTTGATGAAATTTGGCATAGAGATAGTTTGAGTCCCGGGAAAGAACATAGGATAGTTTTTATCCCGGTTTTTGAAACAGGGACGCGCGCGATAAAGTTTTTCTGTGACAGACAAAATTCCACGCGGGCGAAGCCGCGGGCGGAAAGCTAGTGAGTATATAAGCCGACATTAGCCCATGTTAATATGGTCATATAAATGGTATGGTGAAGTCAGAAAATTGATATCTTCATTTTAATATTTTATTTTTCATACAAATCGGATTTTATAACATTTATTTTGTATGAAAATTAAAAAAATTAAAATGATGATATCAAATTTCTGACTTCACCATACCATTTATACGACCATGTTAACATGGGCTAGTGTCGGCTCATATACCCATTTACCTAACAACCCTGTATAGGAATAGATCTAGATCAGAACTAGGGCGTAGGCACAAGCAATTAGTCCGCCGGGTGCGACACTTCGTTAGCTAAGGGTGCCTGTGCACTTGAGCGGTGATGCCGAATGCAGAATTAAAATATTCGCAAGGGTACAAAATGTTGAGTTTATAGACGACAACTAGTTACTTATTTTTACGTTATGCTAAAATGGCATATATTAAAAATAGCAGCCAGTCAAATTCGTTATTTCTATGTGTGAGTATTTGGTTTGAAGAAACAGAAAATACCAATAAGACCCCTCACTTGTATATTACACGATTTGTCAGTCAACAGACCTTTTTAAATAAATCGTGTGTGTTCATTATTCACAATTATGTATTAATATGTATAGTTAACGATTAGATAATATGAAAACGGAATCGACATATTTTTCTCAATAGCATGTTAACTGTACAATGTGTACTTACTAATTATACTTAATTATCTGTCATTTTATTTGAATACCAGCTACTGATAATTAAGATTTCGTAAAAATCTACCATTATTAATTAATGGCAGATTTTTTTATCATCGGACATTTGTAATCAAATGATAGTTAAAAATGAACAATCACTGTTTAATAAAAATATAAATAGGTACTTATGTTGAATCGAAAGCTTTTTTGGCCCAGTTTTTGTTCTAAGAATACGCCTTAGTAGACTGGCGCCTTATGAATATCGATATAGTTCAATGTAAGATCCTAACCTTAGCTAGCCTGATTACTTTGCATGCCTATACTATGTCATAAATTGTGTCAATAGTGTCATGTTTATAGGTCACGATGAAACACATAGAAACTACACACTACTACATAATAATTGTATTTAGTATGTAGTTTTAACACTTATGTTAGATGTATCCAAAATGGTAGAGTAGGCACTGTAGTAAATGCCACTTATATTTTTTATTGTAAGAATAATTTTATTGTAAAACCCACATACATGTATTATGTCATGAAAATTAATGTATTTACAAGACAACTCTTCAGCAAACTCTTACGCCCGTATTCACAATCATTACTTACCATGAGGTCTCACAGTGCGCGTGGACGCACAGGGTGACAAACGAACCAATCACAGAGCTCAATCTAACGATGTGCGTTCGATTTGCTGCTTCACTTAAGCAAGCATCGTTTATAAGTACGGGCGTTACTCTGTTATTGTAGAAAATTTTAATTAACGATTACAATGAATCTCTGATGTGTGACTACTAACAACTTTTGCTCACTTTGTACCATACCAATCAGTAACATCGACAAATCTTCTACTGCAATCATAGAGCTCATAGAAAAGTTTCCATACAAAAACAACATGGTGTGGGAAATGGGGCAGGCACGTTGAATGGCCTTTTGCACCTACTCCATTTGACCTAGTTATGATTTGAACTCTGTAATCCCAGTCATAAAGGTCGAAATCGAATGCCCAGTTGCGATTGAAGGTACTGTGGATGCGACTACAGTGTTACTAATTGCTGGACTCGTAACGTCATTGTGTGAATCAAATAATCGAGTGCCTGTTCTGTGGAACAGACATGGCAATAATCACATTGTCAGTTGTCATGCTAGTTGAAATCATGGATGTTATAAGGAGGGAGAAATCTATATTTATAAAAGCGAAAGGTCACTGACTGATTGACTGACTGACTGACTCACTCACTCATTACGAAATCCCAGAAACTATAAGTGCTAGGAGTCTCAAATTTTGCATGAGGGTTCCTTTTACAACGTAGGTGCTCACTAACACGGGATTTTCCAAAATTCAACTTCTAAGGGGGTAAAAAGTCGCGGGTGG